GTAGCTGGTGAGGGGCCTGGGTGACCGGGCCCAGCTAACAGGCCCGGGGTGAAGCGGAGGTGAGTATACGATTTTCATCATTTATGGGTAGAACTTGAATTTTTGCTCTTAGAAATGGATGAGTAGGACAAATAAGGAAAAGAACAAATGACTTAGTCTTTTAAATGGCTTTCTGCCTGGCACAACCCAGAAAGACAAGGAACCTGGTATTTGTTTAAAGGCAGTGACTTCCGAGTCCGCCCAGACCAAGTGGGGCCACGAGGGTGTGATTCTGTCCCGAGAACACGGTGACACTGCACCGAGGTGAGGGCAAGGTGCTGTGCACTGTCCTCGGAGAAAGGACTCCTTTGTGACGTGAGGTCCGTCCTGAGTGCAAGTGTTCTACAGTTAAGGTGCACTGCGTGCTCTAGGCTGTACTGGCGACACTTCTCAAGTGTAAATGAACATCCAAGCTTTTTTAATTACTGGAAAAATACCAATGAAAACGAAGCCCCACTGATTGCTGTGGCTTTGAAATTCACGACACGGATGCCGCAGGCTAAGCGGGGCTGCCGGGCCCTGCCCAGCCTCGGTACCAGAGCCGGTGCCCGGCGCCCAGCACGCGGCTGCTGCCCACTTAGTTTCCATCCCCATTGTAAACCCCAGTGGGACACTTCGCAAATGGGAGCTGGTTCCTTTGCCAACCTCCAAAGCACCTGAAAAACTCCCCACAATTGCAGGCCCAACTGGAGGTCCACAGAGAGGGCTACAGTACACATGCAAGCGGACTTTGAAAGGCTCAGAAACATGCTGAGATAAGGGCCACATTGTAGGCCATTAACTTCACAGCACCATGTCCTACTGAAAGAGCTTTTGGCGTGTCCTTCCAGACAAAATGTGACTCCAAGGAGGATGTAAGTGTTCATGCGAATCCAAGCTCCTTAACAAGGCAGCGTGACATCCTATGGTCTGGTCTCAACTCCTTTTCCCAGCCTCTTCTCCACTCATTCTGGTCCATGTGCCCAGTGATAAAGTACCCTGAGCATGACGGCATCAAGCTTCCCTGCCGTAGCATATACCGTTGCCTTCCTTATCTCTCCACTGGGCTCTTGTTCATCCTACAAAGCCCAATTTTAAAGATTCAAACGATTTCCTCCCATGCTGAAAATTTATTGACTCAAATCTTCTCCAAGGCCCCAAATATGCATCAGGTTCTTGCCTACACTACAAGCCATATCTTCCAACACCTGTCTTTTGACTATTCTTAAGCCTCAGTGACCTTCTTTCTGAACTATAGACGGAGCTGAGAGGGCGGGTCTGTGTGTGAGGGCGGGTCCTGGGGAAGGAGATACAAGTCAGTGCATGCAAGCAGCCACCGGGAGGCTGGAATCACAGAAGCCATAGTATACCGAGGTCTTGCACAGTGTCTGCCATGTTGGGTGTAAGTGCAATGAGCAGAGAATTATTTTACAAGAATAAGGGGACCACAGATGTTTTCAAATGTACACGTTCATTTGACTCAAACATGCCAAGCACACTCCATGTGCCCAGCACCTAACTCTTAACAACCCTGTGAATTAGGTATCACTCTAGTTTTATGGATAGGAAAATAAAAGCTCAGGGAAGTTAGGAATTCACTGGGTCCACAAGATTTGACTCAAACTCAAACTTTTCTATCTCCAAAGCCTAAACTTTTTTGCTTTGTTTTTGTTTTGCTAATCCCCTGCTATACACTCATTTCTAGGGTGTCAGATGTGTCAGAAGGTAAGGGTTTATAGTGCGTGTGTCAATATACACCAGCTCCTGCGTTTTCCTAAACATGTAGTTACATCAACTTAATGATCAAGTAGCAGCAGGAGCAGTGAGCCACAGTGAAAAGAGAACATGCTTTGAAGACATGTGGTCAGGCTGACTTCACCGGGTGACTTTCGGAAAAGCGACTTCACCTCTCAGAGCCTCAGTTTCTAACAGTACTTTCTGACATGACGGGAAACATTCCATGTATGTTAAGAGTCCCCTTGCAACACTGGCTCTTAAAGTAGCCACCAAGAAATGACATGAAGGACTTCCACTCACATTTAAAAATTATTTTTTATCCTCACCCGAGGACATTTTTCCATTTTTTGTTTAGATAGAGTGGGAGGGAGCGAGATAGAGAGAAGCATTGACATGAAAGGGACACATCGAGTGGCTGCCACCCACACAACCCAACTGCAACCGAGGTACGTGCCCTTAACGAAAACCGAACCCGGGTCTCTCTGGACCATAGGCCGACGCTCTAACTGCTGAACCAAACTGGCCAGGGTTCCACTCACATTTAATTGGCCAAAAGAAGTTACATGACTGAACCTAACTCCAACAAAAGTAGTCTTAGCATTTATCTGGGAAGAGGACAGAAATACTCAGTGAATACCCTAGTAGTCATTCTTTCTCCTACATTCTTGTAAAATAAACATACACTTTGGTTTAATGCTTGAAAACATTTTGTGTGAAATAACTTTTAAATAAATTGTAATCAGATATAACATGAGAGCTGCTATTTCTGAAGTGACAATTCTGTCATCATATGTGGCCTAGGAAACAGGAGAAGGAAACACTTTACAGAGAATGGATTCCAGGTCCACAGAGAGCCCTCCCCTCCCTAGGGTAGAGGCCTGTGGAGCATCTGCCCAGAGGGATTTCAGAATTGTTATGGACCAAAGACTGCTGTATTTCTCAAATTCTTCCTCTTTCTTAATGGGAGTGTTTTATTGTTTTTGTTTTTAGTTATTCTGCCTCATTCCACTGTTGCATAGTGTGTGTCTGTGTTAGAGGATGATGATTATGGTGATGGAAAATTGATGGAAAATAATTATTTCTATTAGTGTGCCACATCTGTGCTGGGTATGGAGCCTCCTATGCATCTCATCCCGATAAAGAGATCACCAGAAATTACTCAGAAAGCCTCAACATAGAGCTGGGAGCCAGAAACACGTGGGACTTTGGGGTTGTCTCATTTAGGGAAGGTGGTTGTATTATTTTTATGTGGGAAGGACAGTCAACCAAATATCTGTTGACTAGGTGGAAAGTCGGTGGTGTTCATTAGTGTTGTTCATACAATATTTTCAGTTTTTCTTCCAGCTACATTATAGATGTCATTTCCCGGCCCTGAGGTGTGGCCATATGACTTGGTGTGGCCAATAAAATGTGAGTAAAAATGATTGGTGTCACTTGTAGGTGGAAACTTTAAGAGCCTGCACACCGTTCATCATGCTTCTTTCTCTTCTTTCTCTGGATCCAGCAATGTCACTGCTGCGTCTGCTTGGGATGCAGACCGGAGCAAAAGCAGAGAAGAGCCTCCATTGGTTTTCAGTGAGCATGAAGCAAGAATTATTTTAACTAACTGAGAATTGGGCTTGCTTATCACTGCAGTACAACTTAGCCTATTTTGACTCAAAGAGATCATATTGATTTTTTTTTATGGAGTCACTTTTTATTTTGCTGGGATTGTTTCCCTACCCAGAGAGCACGAAACTAGGCGGCCGTGACTGTAACTGGCCTTGTAGAATTGAGGGCAGGTTTCCATTGCAGGCTGGGGTGACAGGAATCCAGATGTGGTCTCTGAGGGCCTCCGAGGAAAGTCATGGTAAGGTTCATGGTGAGGACATGGAAGTAGGACCTTCTTATATTATGGGAAGTATACAGGCTATGTTCCAAAATAGCCACAGGCTGGCTGTGGTGTTGGAGGGCACTGAGCCACACCAGCCATCGCTCTGGCACAGCTGTGTTCAGTGACTAATGATTCCTGTGAAACCTCTGAGTCAGTGCCTTGCTACACTAATTAGTTTCCTGGATTCTTGCTAGATGACAGTATCTCTCTTTCCTGATATCCTAGAGAATTCTGCATACGGATGGAACTCTCATTGAATTGGTGGCCTCAGCTCAAAGACACATCTTCGTCCCTCACCTCACCTGTGCTTGGTTCCCTTCCTGAGTTTTATCTTCCTGCTGCTCCCAGGGCTGCACTATGACTACTTATTTCCATCTCCTCTTGCGTGTGACTGTCCAGAATCACTCTTTGTCCCAGAGGACCCTATGTCTCCTCTAGTTCACCCTGTGGCTGGCTGGTCCTCTGAAGTCATAGTCTTATACCCTAGGCCACCTCTCCCATCAGTCCTCCACGGTGAATGGTCAAAGTCATAAAACTTAGTGACTTTCACAGAATCCATCAACAGGAGGTTGGGTCATCTCAAAAGACTAATCTGCTTATTTGGGGAGTATTTTCCTTCCCCTCTGCTCTCTCATTGGTACTTCAAAGCACCATGGCCCTTCAGGGAGCCAAAATAGAGTCCAGCGGATCTGAGTGAGAGAAAGAAAGGTTATATGCCCGTTCCTTGGAGAGCTGGTTTTGCTGACTCCAGAGAGAACATTAGCCAAGATTTGTGTGTTGGAGCAAAGGAAGTGAGGAGGGAGCAGAGGGCTTTGAGCTGGAAGGTGACCAGGAGCCTCCGTCCTTAGTGAGCAGGGGAGGGGCTTATTGCTGAGCTGAACTTGACAGTGGCCTCCCATGGCCTCAAACCTGTGACCTCCTACAGTTCTGCATATTTGTGAGTTCCCAGAACAAAGGGTAGGGGGCTTGAACAACTTGTGAGGGGATAAAGGAAGATCTTTGGCTTCTGACCAATGTGGTGCTTAATAGAGCCAACTGACCATTTGATGCAGGATTCCGTGTCCAGCCTTTCCTTCTTCATAGCCTAGTCATCGTTCAAGGTTCCAGAGCCATGAAAGGCATCAGCAACTCAGAGGCAACCGTGGAACGCTCATGCTGATCTAATATCAAAATCTGGTTTTAAGCCAAGTGTTTTATTATTACACAAGCTTAGTGTCTGAATGAATCCTTATTTTTATAAGTCCTGTTTTATTAGTAAGTGATAGCAGATTTTCTTGGCAAATTCCAATATCACTTGCTTTTCCCTTTTCTCTCAGTACCTTTCATAGGCTGCACCCCGGTGGTCCAGGGAGAAGGGCTTGAGTAGTGTTACCTTGCCAGCATGCGCCGACCGTAAGTTGCATGGCTATGTGAGATGGATGAATGGGCCAGTCGTTGGTCACCAGGTATGGTTCATATGTTGCTCCATCCATGTATAAGGTAACCACAGGAAACTCCACATTGATGACATAGTAATGCCACTCTTTGTCACAAATCTAATGAAAAGAAAGAGAAGCAACATTTAAAATTGAATATGCAATGAAACATCAATCAGGCTTTTATTCTAATTATAAAATGTGGAGAAGGCATTTTTTGGGTCAACAATTTTTATTGCAAAGAGCTCAATGAACATAGTGATTGATATGCATTGAGGTTATAGAAGCTCACATCAAATAGGATGAGGCAAACAATAAGAGAGAAGAAAGCCCGAGATTCCAATCATCAGGCAAACATTTGACTGTGGGCAGATCATCTTGGTCACATAATTACCAGCTGTATAGGCTGGCAAGCTCTTGGTGAACAGGTGGAGGTGTCACCTTACATTTGCTTTGTATAAAATTTTTCTTTGTTCTCTTTTATTTTTTTATCCTCACTTGAGGACACTTTTTGCATTCATCTTCAGATAGAGCGAAAGGGAGAGAGGGAGGAAGAGAAAGAGAGAGAAACACTGACGTGAGAGACACACTGACTGGTTGCCACCCACACAACCCCAACCGGGGCTGGGGACAAACTGCAACCAAGTACATGCCCTTAGCAGGAACCGAACCCGGGTCTCTCTGGACCGCAGGCTGACGCTCTAACCACTGAGCCAAACCGGCCTGGGCTCTTCATTCTTTAGTAAAGAAAGTTACATTGAAATTATTTTTCCCAAGTTTAGGGGTCGATGGAGCTATAAAAAGAAAGATGCTAGATCGAAAGTAGAAATGAAGATGAAGATAGAGAAAGGGATGAGGAAGGGAAAAACGAAGAAACTAGAAGGCGAAAGAAATAGGAATTAAAAAGAAGAGAAAAGACAGTGAAGGGGGGACGAGGAGGAGGGACGAGGTGAAGGAAAGGAGCCCTCCCAGTCCTGTCTCTACTTTGAGGCTCGCCTGCAGAACTGTTGTAACCTCATGCTCCGTGTGACTCAGGCGAAGCAGATTCTGAGAGCTCTCTTCCTGTGGAAGACCGCTGTGCTCTCCCTTGGAGGAGGGGGAGGCACGGAGCACCACAGAGGTCCTGCTGGCCTGACTCTCACACACACGTCCCCTCACACCTTTTACATCCGAGGCTTGGGGTCCTCGGGCTGGGAACCAGAACTGGACCCTGATACATGGGTAGGAACATTAGGGGCTAGAGGAAGTCACGGTTCCTGACCTCAAGGGACTGAACTCCCACATGATTCAGAATGTAAATCCAGACTAGGGTGTCTTGGAAAGGGAGACAGGAAGCTTAAAAGAAAGCAAAGCTGGAGAATAATGCTTCGCCTCCCTGCAATCCCCGAAGTGAGTGCCTTGGGAGTCACGTTAGACTCTCTCTGCCACACCCCCTCTGCCTGTGATCCGCTGCCCCCTGTGGAGGCCATCTCTGTGATGCTCTCATCGGTTCCTCTTGTCCCCGTGGCCCTGCCATCTGTGGCAGCAGAGACAGATGAGTTCTGCGTGAAGGTGACCCGAAGGTGAGGGCATCAAAGCCCTCCCTACATCCCACAATGGATTAAATGCACTGTTTCTCATGAATAGATAACACCAACAGGGATGCTAAATGATCTTTTCCCTTTCATTTTGCAATAAGAATTTTTCCCTTAATGTTCTTTTTATATTGTCCTATCTCATGTCTCAGAAAATTGCTCCGTTTGAAGCCCATTAGCCTGATAAAGCCTGATGAATATTTTAGGGGTCCATGGAAGATAAGCAGAAGGGGCCCAGGCAGATGTCTCCAAAGTCTTGTTACACTCCCCCGACTGTGCAGCTCGCTCAGGGCCTGTTACACCTCACTAGAAATCCTAACCCATTTACTCTCCTCTCCTGCTCAATCCTGAAACCAGATGCTGGGCTGGGTGCGGGGCTCACAGGCCGGGCCTGCATGACCGGGTGGCACTGATCCAGGGGTGTAGATGTGCCACAAAGAAAGTCTAGGGGTGATGGAAGAGTGAGGATCTATGAAGAGTATTTGAACGAGGAAGCACCCCATCCAAGGAGGCCCAATGCCTCCTAGACTTGAGGTTTGCAATCAACAGCTCAGCAGCATGTTCCAGAATCTGGAATGTGGTTGACATCCCGGTGATGTTCTTTGAGAAAGGCATCAGGAAACCTCTGGTCAGGCTCAGAGTACAGGGGGACCCAGACCATACCCCGTGCCCTTTGAAATGTAGGCAGAGTGAGAGCATTAACCAGGCAGCCCTGGAGGTCTCCCCAGTCCTGGCCACCATCAGCACCCTCCCAGGGGCCATCCCCTGGAGCATGGCTACCCTGCTGACTCCATGGGACAGCTGCCCCGACAACACCCCAAGTCCGTCCAAGTTGGTTGGAGGACGATTCTCTGACATCCTTTCTTTCATAACACTTCTGTAGGACAGTGCAACAAATTCCAAGGAAGATGTAAAATAATTCCATAGCTCAACAGCAGCAGTGGCCCCTCCCCATATTACAGTCTTTCCTGGGCACCCCCCCCACCCCCCGCTGTTCTGAGGTGTGACTAGCAGCCCCTTGGTGGCCTGCCTAAACACAGTGACCTTGTACGCCCAGCCTCGTTTTTTTGGATTTCCCATTTCATTAGTATATCCAACACTCCCAACAGCCTCATCGTATATGCCTGTAATAACTTTCCAACCTTGCTGGAAAATGGACCTTTTCTATTTATAGCATTCCTGTAGACACCCTGAGACCACACAGCTGGGACAGGTCTGTGCAGATCACCCTGCACAGACAATTTGAAAGTTTACTGGTTTCACTTAATATCAGCATGAAAATGCCTCCACCAACTTCATTTTAATAGTTTAATAATATGGATAGACGAGAATATACTTAAATATTCCCCAATTATCAGGTATTCATATGCACCTGCAATTATAAATCATGTTGTAATGAATTTCTCTGTGCATAAATATTTGTCTGCATTTCTGATTCTATCCATGGGAATGATTCCTGAAAGTGGGATTATTGGGTCAAAGGTTGGAGGTATTTTGAAGACTCTTGACACATAGTGTCAGTTTTTTTCTGCCAAGCGTTGTGCGGATTTAGACGCCTGCCCTCGGTGTGAGTGTGCTCGTGCATGGTGTCCTCCCCACATTAAGCATTAAAAAATACAAAATTCTGGCAATTTGGAAGGGGATACATTTTATCTCATGTTATGTGGATCACCAGAGATAGCAAGAATGATAGCATCCAAGGTCAAAAGGGAAGGGAGTTAAGACTCAGGCTGAGTGATTAGAAACTTCCCCGCTCAGCTTCTAACTGGGCACCCAGACAGGCTTTTGGCTCAGACGAGGTTTATGCCTGCAGACTTCTCGCACCAAGCACTCTCTGAAGGCAGCTAAAGGAGACGCCTAGCTAGGGTTTCATAAATGTGGATCTGTGATCAAGAAGAAACCCACATTAACCCTTGGCTAGAACTGCAGGGACAAACTAGTTGAAAAAGGATCAAAACAGAAAGAAACAAAAATAAATGTGTCCATGCATAGCTCAACCAAGAAAGAAGGGAATTAGGCGAAGTGACCTTTCCTGGGCCGAGAGAAGAACTTCGATTCCCGATTGTTGTGAGTCACTGGAGAAGGTAGCCACACCGAGTACGGCCAGCGTCATCCCCGGTGCCCAGAGCCTCAGCTGGACCAAAGACAGCCTGCCCTCAAACCTGCAGGCGTGTGCCGGCGGTGGGCAGCTGCGGATGCTGCTGAGCTGGTGCGAGAATCGGAGACCAGAGGCCCAGAGACAGGTGTGGAGGAACCGTAGCAGGGACAGTGTCAAAGGAGGTCTGAGGTGGGAGCAGGCTGATGCTCCAGGGTGAGTCAGGGGCCAGGAGCCTCCCTCGAGAGAGAGGAGCAGGCTGGGCAGCTGAGGGGTTGCCCCACAATCCTTTAAACGCCACATGGGAAGTTCTGAGTTGGTTTCCCCAGTAAACCAGGCACTTTGGAATGCAGCTATTCAAGGCGAGATGCAGTTGCCTGAACCACTGTGACCTGGGGCGTGTGCAGGGGCCGCACAGGATGCGGTGCTGGTCAGATCGCGCTGTGCTTTCAGGACTCCGGTGTGATGGGGTGGAGAGGAGGGTTAGAGGTGAGGTGTAGAGCCCGGAGGTCCCAGGGAGGGGAGAGAGGACTGGCTGGGAGAAGGGGTATTTAGGGTGGATATGGAAGGACTGTTAAGATTTCACTAGGAATAGACAGCAAGGAAAGAATTCCAGGTGAAGGAGCAGATCCTTTTATTCCTTTAATCATTCACCCTCTTTTCTACTGCCAAAGAAAGTGCTAGGTTCGGGGCTTGTGGAGGGTCACTCACTCACTCAGTCCTGAGTGTGTTACCAAGTGTGTATCCTGGGCTGCGAACGCAAACAAGCACTTACCTGTGCGGAGTGTCCAGCCCAGTCAGAGAACGGACAAACCCTTCGTGTGGCTCAGCCTGCACAGTCCGCAAGGTGCTGGCGAGCCCTGTGGGGGAGGGGTGTTGACTGCCCTGGGAGGGGCGGGCAGAGGCACAGAGCTCGGAGGGCTCCCACGTCTGGAAGGGGGGGTGGGAGATGAGACTGCGAGGAGAGACTTGGAACTGAGGCCCGAGGACGTGGGCTACTTCTCTTCTGTAGGCCACAGGCCTGGGCGCTCCTGGGCGGGGCAGGAGGGTGGTAGTCATAACAACTGATCTCGGAACACATTTTCCCATTTTGAAGCAACTTTTCAGATTCCTTACACTATTCAATCCTTGCTGCAATCTTATAAAGTAGGAGGGCCAGTTGTGTCCTTTAGAAATAGAGGGAAGAAATGACATGGTTTCTAATCACAAGGAATGTATAAGGAGTAGGTGTAACGCACACCCCACTGTGTGTCTTTCGGCTCCCACACTGCCAGTGGCTCAGCTTCACACACTCACCTCATAGCGGCGGCTGATCTCCTGAGACATGGACTCGTATGTCAGGTTGGCCCCGAATGGCCCCGCTCGACGTTCTACGGGCCCATCACACTCACTGTGTCCAAAATGAACACCCTCCGTGCTCCAGCCTCACCTGCCCTTTCTTGTGCATCCCC